TTTTTTTTTTTTTTTTTTTTGTGGGGTTTTTTGTCTCTAGCAAAGGACTAACTGCTACTATTACTATATTATCCTGCATATCATGTACTGCACACCTTTTACCCTCTCTGAAACGGGGGTGCATGCCTTCAGCAGGAAAGCTGATTTCTCCCCCGACCCCCTCCTTTACTGGAATAGAAGCATGGAGGCACTGAAGCAAGAGAGCTGCCAGCTTCTTTCCGAGCCAGCAAGCAGGAGAGATGAAGGCTAGAGTTAACCCTTTCACAGCTGCTCTTAAATTGGCAGCTATCTTGCTGAACTGATTCTCCATGACAAAGCCAGCTCTAGGCCGTGACTCTAGAAATATCTATTTTTATTTATTTGTAATAACTATATAGTATGTCTACATTGTGCCTGTCATTTGGGAGTGAAACATCAGGTAACCTTAGTAATGGTCAGGGCTAGTGACCCTATCTCTAAAAACCACGCTCACTCCAATTTACAGGAAGAAAGGAGCAGTCGCCTGTTCCTGACTAATTTCCATAACCCCCCTGCACCCTGTGCTTCGGAAAGCACTAGCTACCTGCACGCAAGTATTCCCTTTTGGAAATGTGCTTGTCTGCAAAATAAAGTTTCCATTCCCTGGTCTGTCCTGCTAACAGTAGCTACAAGCCTGCCTTTCGTGGCAATGTTGATGCCCTGTCATGGCTTCCTAAGGCTTTGAATAGGTCTAGGCAGACATTTCAATGCCTACAGTATAGGGGTGGCTCTAGTCTGCCCATGCCAATTAACAGCAGATGCCACTGTTATCACCAGAAAACTCCAGTGGGTGATCAGCTGGGGGGGATGTGCAGCTGTTGTCAGAAGCAAAACTCCACCTTGAGAAGGCAGGAGAGGGGAGTTTGTACATCATCAAAGGCTTATTCATCAACTGCAAGCACAGGTGTGGACCTGGTGTTCAGTTCTACCCCGGATTATGCTCGTGTGCATAATGAGTTGAGCATAGCTGGCCATGCAGCAGAGCGAGGGGTTGCATCCCCCAGTTCAAAGGCAGCAAGCCAAAGTCTCAGGATTTCAGAAATAAAACTAGGCATCGCAACTACATCTGCCTGTGTAGTTCCCAGGACACCTGCAACAAGCTGCTGCTCCCCAAGTCTTTCTCTGTGCAGTTCCTCCTGGGGTATTTTTCCTCGTGGGAGTATCTCCACTCCACTCAAAGCCCTGGAACAGGAAATATCAGCCTCTCCGTGCCTCTTCCATTTGCACTTTGAGAAGTTGTTGTTTGACTTTCCCCCTCCGCGCTGCATGCTGGGGAGTCTGGGTCACACCCAGGCTGTTAGTTTGAGCTATTTGTATTTTTAGAGCAGGGACACAATTGCATACAATAAATCAGTGGGCGGTAACATTTATTTTCTTAAGGGCCTTTCTGTTTCCAGAAGAATCGTTTTATCACAAGTTTCCTCTCTGCAGTCTCCTTCATCAGACATTTATACTAAAAGAAGAAAACAGTTGCTGACACCAACCATCCTTAGCAGCTTTCTAGGCAGATATCCCAGCTTTTCTTATATAGCTTCGAACATCCCCTGGCACATTTGCTTTTCGGTTTAGTACCTACCTTGCTAACTGGCTCTAGCAGACGTCCTTAGCAGAGGGAAGCACAGCAGGAGAGGGCCCAGCGTTGATTCACCTTCTTGGAGCTGCTCTCTGGGAAGTTGGATGTTTATGTGCCGCCCAGCTACAGAACTGAATCCATAGGGCTTTTTTTGGTCTTTTAAAGCCTATGGAATTCAGTTCTCAAAGCCAAGGAGCTAGGTACGAGACTGCTGCCATAGCTCAGCTTCCACCTGCAAGGGAAAGCAGACCAAGACAGGAGTGAGCCGAAAGTGCTTTGCCTCCAGACGATCAATGTGGCATCTTCCTCCCCTAGTGAAGGGTGTCGCTAGTCCTCTGTGCAGATTTGGTAACTTTATTTAAATCTGTCTTTTCAGTCCTCTAACATCAGGAAGTGGCAGCTGTTACAGGGACTAAAAACACCTGCAGAAGTGTTAGTTTTGATGACCTATAAGCAAGTCGGACATTTTCAGTTTCACTTTGCCCAAGCCACGACACTGCAAGGGAAGTATCTTAATACAATATTGATAATACAAAGAAAGAGTTTTTAAACTCTAAAATATTGAGCTATATTCTTGGTTAAAAATTTTGGGGCCCCGGGTGGTCACCTGGTTTGCCCTCCCCTTAAGGCCACTACTGCTAATTGGCTCATGGCAGATCTATAAACACAGCTGAAATCAGAAAGCCTCTGCATTTCTAAGTGTTAGCAGGTGACAGCAGTTACTGCATTTAACCCTTGAAGCTTTTGCTTGGTGCACACGTCATGTTCTGTAAATGGCATAAAGCTGATTTTTCCTTTGCAATTTAAAGTTATAGCACCTTCTGTACTGGGCCCTGTGTCCCAGGAAGCTGTTTGGGATGGAAAAAGTCAATGGCACTGAAAGACGAGCAGATTAAAACTAGCAAAGGGAAGCATTTTGCATAGCTAGCTGTAAGATAGAGGCTAACCACATAACATCAGCCAGTGGTTTTCATAAGATCATGGGAAATTAGGGTGGGAAGGGACCTCAAGAAGTCATCTGGTCCAACCCCCATCTAGATGCTAGATTTCAGACTGAGGTATGCAACATCTTACCAAGGGGCATGCACCTACATTTTAATAATGACAGCGGAGCCTCTGATTATTCATTGCACATTGGCCAATGGCCATTGACACTCTTCCTAAAGAGCCGCATCGTGCGTAGGAAGTACTGGCAGCTGTGCTTTTCAGGTAAAGGGGTACACAGCCAAAAGAGTTTGAAACCCACTGCTGTAAGGTACTGGTGAGATTACGAGTTTAAGACTAAAAGGAAAAGTTCGTACTTAAATGGGTACTAGACTTTCAAGGCGTGTGAAGAGTAAAAGAAGCCATTATGTTTCACATCCCCTTGTCCTTAAGAGCGGTCATGTCTAATGCAGGTAAGGCATGTGCAAGCCAGCAAGGCAGGGTAAAAGGACTCGGATCTGTCTGATCGGGAGCAATGGCAAGGAGGCAGATCTGTACTGCGGTGATAGGGGACACAGGTACGGAGAGAAAAATCCAAGGTACTAATAAATGCAAGGACACAGGCTAACTAAGGCTATATATAACTTATATAGCTGTACTGCTGAACCATACCACTGATTCTTCTCTCTTGCTATCTTTCAGACCAAGGACGTTTGTACCATTTGGTGTTGGCTGAGATACAGCGAGGAAAACCACTCTAAATGATTTGTCAGCACAAGTTTGCTCTTGGTGACTCAATAAATAAAGCAGCAGAGATTGGCAGCTATTTTAATCCAACGGTAAGAACTAGAGTTTAGCGTGGGCAGTGCAACAGCTTCTTCCTGCTACAAAGGTGTTGCCCCACTTGGCATTTCACCTCTATAACTGCCGCGTGGTCTTTATCTGGATACCTTAGCAAGGGAGTTTGTATCGCGGCATCCAGCCTCTAGCATTTAAAGCAGTGCAAGTTTTGCAATTTATTTAAAATGGAGGCAGCAATAGGTTGGTTGTTTGAAGACAGACGGATACGTGGGTCAGGTTTTCAGAAGTACCCGAGTCTCATTTTGAAAGAACGGTTGAAAAGCCTTGGTCTCAGAGTCTCCAGTAAGACTTTTAGGAACCTAAAAGCACCTAAGCACCCACGTTACTTTGCAAATAGGGCTGAGGTGCTTTTAACAACTGCAGCGTATTTACCGTTCCCTTCCACACCCCCCGCCATGTCCGCGGAGAAAGCAGCATTAGCAGCTGAGCATAACTGAGTCGTGTTCACATCAGAGCAGCGTGAAAGTTTGTTCTCTGGGTGGCTAAGTCGGAGATGCACACAGGACTTTGGGCAAAAACTGGTTGGAGATGGGCTTGAATTGCTCCGGAAAGGGGAGAAGTCTGCTGAGGTTCTCCGGAGGTATGGGACTTCAGCAGATTTCCTTACAGATGAGAGAGGGTATCGTAAAACATAAGGCACCTTAATTTTGTTTGTGCTTTTGAAATAGAAGTGCTAGGTAACAGTTTGACTCCTACGGGGATCTCAAAGCACTTTATAAAGAAGGCTGAAAGGTCAGCGGTGATTTATCTCCCAGGTGTCTGGCTCCACTTTCGGCTGTTCCAGGCGAAGACGAAGGTTACCAGCATCGAGGGTGATGAAAGGGGAAAACAGCCCTTTCCATTTGCTTTGGGCGTCCGACTGTCCTTCGCACAGAGTCTGTTTCGCTCTGCCCGTGCGGGTTTTTCCCTGTCGCAAAAAAGGGAGAGACGGGAACATGCGATTGTAAAACCCACACAAGTTAGTGGAGATGAAACACCTTTCAGCCATTTTGAAGTTGAGTAATTTCAGGTTGACGTCATTTTTTTTCTCTCTCTCTCTCTCTAAATAAGAATGAGGAAACTGAGTCACAAAGAAGCGGAGTCGGCGACCCAGGTGTCCTTGTGTTCAGCCCACTGCCCTTTCCTTAGGAGGAAACCTCGTCCAAATGTAGGCTAACTGTTTCTTGCTAAAATCTTTCAACACACTTCCTGCTCTGAATCAGTCGACCCATCTCCAAAAGGTCAAGACTATTTTTCATCGTAAACATCAGTCCTAACTCGCAAATCAACTGTAATAACCGAGCCCCCGGTGAGCCAGGACTGGCGATGCTGAAATGCAAAGTTCATGCGTGCTTTGACACCTGCGCTGCAGTGAATTAGTTTGAATTGCCCCCCACCCCCAGCTGTCTCTTCTATAAATACACCTCCTTACGGTAGCATTAGAGTAGTTTTAGGTGTCACCCGCGCCCATGAGATCAAGCAGAGCAACGTGCCGTCCAAAAGGCATTTAACCAAAACGCC